AACCAAAACTTGAGGACCAAAACCAGAAACAAAACGAATCAAAATAGGGACAGGAAGTGTCTTTTAAAAGAAACCTTTTTAAATCAACTTAAAACATGGATGAACCAAACACAACCAAAACTTGAGCAAAAAAACAGAAAAAACCAAGATAAGTTTAGTGAAGCTATTACTCCAAAGCAACTTTCTTTTAACCCTTTTGAAAGAGGATCTTAAGGATCAATGCAATACACATACACACAATATATTAGAGGGGGCGTTGGTCTCTATTCATGAATAGTTCAAACATATGTACACTAAAAACTAGTGCAATCTAGATTTTACATCACATGTTTTAGACCTTCTCAACATGGGTTTATGCTGCTTAATAATGATAAAGAATCTGACATCTTGTCTAAACTAGAGCACTATAATATTATGGGTAGTGGAGGTAACGTGATGTTGTTCAGCATTTTTCAAATAAATGAATAAATAAATAAAAAGACAAACAGCAATGTCCTCCCTCCAAATAATCCAGCATTATTTAGCATAATTGTTTAGCTATACAAACCATTGATGAACATGAAACATTGATGATCCAAATAGAATCAAACTTTAATGAAAAACCACGAAAAGCAAAAAAGACTCCAAACGAATGACGGGCATGTTCTGTTGTAGTTTGTACTTTGTATTGATATGATTATTGATTATCAATCGCTGTGCAGTTTATGTTGATACCTACAGTGTTTTTATATTGCTCATGTGTCTATTTGGAACCCCTGTTGTGTAGTTTCTGGAAAAAACCAGAAACTGTTTCTGGTTTTTTCAGTTTCTAGATTGCATTTCACCATGGCTATGACGATGTAATTGTATTTAATGGCCTAGTTCATTATGTCGAGTGATATTCGATGGTTGGTTAATATTTGGTTGCCGGTTGATCCCATTCGTCTTAGTTGGTATGGTTGATTTAATTCACTTTGAATGCCTTGCTTGAGCATTCTGCCGACATTAGCTAATACTTTGGTAGCATATTAGTTGCCGGTTTATGCATAACCTCATGGCATAATGTTCATTTGCTTCGGGTTTAAAGTGTATTGCCAACCTACCACTAAGATTAATTGAACATAAACCTTATAAGCTTCCCCAGAGCCAAAATAACCTGTTGAATATGATAAATTATAAATGCATTGCAATGCCAATAATAAACATATTGCAACACCAATAATGTTGTGTATCTATTTTACAACAACCAAAACAACCAACATTTCATATACTAGGACTCACGGGCCTCTTCAACTTGTACTCGCTCTAAATTCCGACCGCAAGTTCCAACCGGTAAGCTTCAACTTTTTCTTTAGCGAGGTCTTCTAACGGGATTCTGCGGACAAGGTATTCGATAAATTTGTATGTGAAAAGTCCGCAGTCACCTGATCTAAGGTTGTGGACCAACCATTTGGGACGAACATTTGGCCACGCACAGTCAAGTTTATCGCCTAGATGGTTGAATAAACCTGTGTACTTCAAGAACTTGGGCATCATGACAACGATTGGCTCCACTTGTTTTTGCATCTGTTGATCTCTGTACATCATAATAGCTGAGTCATACACCTTTATGTTGAATTCAGATAAATCAACATAAAGCGCAACCCAATGCTTCCTCTCAATGTTAAAAGGCATAGTGAAGCCCTGCACACCATCCCATTTCTGGCCAATTATGCGCTTTTCTCCACAAACATATTCATCTAGGTCGTTGTCAAACGTATACGTTGCCAATTTATTTTTGTTGGTGAAGAATCGCGCTTTCAACTTTTGGCAAAATATATCATATAGGATGACAATATTGTTATTGAACTGCCCTTCAGGTGCCCTTGACCTTCTAATCGATAGAAGACTCCATGCCTCGTCAATTTGCTATAAGTCATAAAAAATTAATTCAATATAATGAGAATGGTATAAAAAATAAAACTATAAAGTTAGTAAATATGTTGTGATTACTTACATCATTGAACAGCCATTCATCAGGCTTCAAGATGATCTGGAAGAAGTCCTTCCTCCAATCTCCAAAACCGCACTCAATCAGCTCAGAGTCCGTACTAGAATCAGCGAACCACTTGTTGAAGGCCTTGACGGCATCGTTAAAGGTCCACATCTTCTTCCTCACGTTACGCAGGGGATCTGTGTAAGGCGACTCAATATACTTGCTGGGCCTCTTATGCCACTTTTCATTCTTCGATTCAGACTCTAGCTTTGAATGAACCTGTTGCTCAAGCTGATCCTCTGGCTCTGGCTGAACCTGAGGCTCAAGTTCAGCCTCAGGCTCAAGCTGAACCTGAGGCTCAAGTTCTGCCTCAGGCTCAAGCTGAACCTCTGGGTTAAGTTCTTCCTCAGGCACTGGCTTTGGCTGTAATTGTTGTTTCGCTAGACATGCTATATTGTCCTTAATTTCTCTAACAGATACGTCTAGCGATTCTAGCCTCTTGTTAATGGCTTCAAAATGTCTACTATTGTACTTTACCATCATGTGATAGAGTATGTCAACTATGTGATCAATAGACATACCATCTTGCTTGCTCGGCTGTTGTTGTTGTTGTTGATGTTGTTGTTGTTGTTACTGCTCAGGTTGTTGTTGCTGTTGTTGTTGTTGTTGTTGTTGTTGTTGTTGTTGTTGTTGTTGTTGTTAGGGAAGTAGTTGTCGACGAGCCAATTGTTTCGGAGGCTTCAGTTGCTAGACATAGACCATTCTTGCACCAGAGTCCAAAAATAATGCAAGCTGGTCAATCTCAGGATCTTCTTGGTTGGCATAAGGCATATACAACCTCATGCACATACTATTTATTTCCTCCTCAGTGGGATAAAGAATTGGTACGGCCATTCCCTGTATATTAAAAGAACATACATTCAATGATAATTTAGGTGGAAACATATTGTAAAAAAAAAAATATGCCTATTTTGTAAAATTTACACCTATAAAAACATTGTATTTAAACCCTTACCTCGCCACTGTGCATGAGGTCGTCTATCTGTCTAACATCGACCAATGAAACCCGGCGTGCCTCCCATTTGAGGATTCTGGGAAGACGTCCCTCAACCATCTTTGCAAACGTGGCGCCGATGGTTGGAAATGTTTTGAATGCCCAAACCTGCGTTAAACCAATTTTTTTAAGTCTAGTAAACCAATTATGGTATTATTTACTATAAGGCCATGAAAAATTATGCATATAACTGTATGGCATAACTGGAAGGCCCAAGGAAACCCGCATATTGAGTAGGTTTCCTTGATGCTCTTATTGCGTCCTTTCCGAAACCATTTCTGGAATTTCTCTCTCAAGTTCTTCTTCAAAGCCTCCAGAGTGCATTCAAAAGACACCCTACCCCATGGATAGCTGTTGAAGAATTCTAAATCGTCAACGTAAGACAGCCAATCCAGTGGGACGGTCTTCTTCTCGTCCCCAGATAATAATACTTGTGCTAAAAAATAAATGATACCGATCTTTGCTTTATCGCTACCTTTTATCTTCTTCCCTGTGAGCAATTTTTTTAAATCAGCAACAAGTACTACGTGGGACTTAAAATGCTCCAATAATCTTCTATTCTTCGAAGCTTTCAAGATCACGTCCGGCTCTGGAGTTTCCCGCAATTCAATCCAGTAATTAATGCAAATTCCCTCATTCCAAACCTAGTTGTGGTTCCATTAACCATGAACCACAACTCATGTCTCTTTTTTGTTTCTATCCGCCTCAAAAGCAGATACTGTGTCAACACTCCAAAATAGATCATATTTTCAGACATCAAAATAAAATGTCTGAAGGCAGACTCCTTGAAAATTGGCATTTCTGTTTCGGGGTCTAGATCCTGCCTGATTACCTCCAAAGCCTCGATCTTTGACTTCATAGTCACTTTCACTGGGAAATACTGCCGCACAGGATCCATGTACATCTTTAGATGTCCGATCCCAAGAAGTTCACATGTGTTGTACTTTAGGAGGTCATACTGAAAAAGAAGAAAAAACACACCGGTCAGAACCGACCAAAACGATAGAACCGACTAGAATATACCAAGAAACCAACAAGAACCGACTGAACCAACCATGACCCGACCCAAAATCCCCACAGAACCGACCAAACAGACAGAACTGACCAAAACCGAACAGAACCGACCAAAATTGACCTGAACCAAACAAGAACCGACTCTGAACCGACCACCAACCGACCAAGAACCGACTTCACCAAGAACCGACCAGAACCGACCCCTCTCGACAAGAACCGACTAAGAACCGACCACCAGAAACGACTTAAAACTGACCTAGAACCGACTGAGAACAGACCAGAACCAAAACCGACTAAGAACTGACTATGAACAGACCAATGTTGCTTATATTAAGTTTTTGTTCTTGCAAAAATATATAAGAAAAAGTAAAACAAGAATATTACCTCAGCAGATTCCGTTGCCTCGTCGACAACTATTCGGGAAATGGCTGTTTTAGTTGAGGAAGAAGAGCTAGTTTTTTATGTCATTTTAGTCGGATTTTGGTGAGCAGGTGGTCGGTTTTTGTGGTCGGGAATTTGGTGAGTGGTCGGGGTTGGTTTTTGGTCAGTTTTAGTGGGAAGGGAGTCAGTTTTTGATGAACGGTCGGTGTTTGGTGAGTGGTCGGTCGGCCGAGACGAGAGAGATCGGAGAGTGGATCGGAGAGAGAGAGAGAGAAATAGGTGAGAGGAAAGCCGGCGGTCGGTCGTGAGGTTGGTGATTGATCAGAGAGAAAAGCCGGTGGTCGGCGAGAAGTGATCGTAGAGAAAAACCGGTGGTCGGTCGTGAGAGAGCTCAGTCGGGAGAGAGAGGGTCGAGCGGTCAATTTCGGGGGGAAGAGAGGGTCGAGCGGCGGTCAGTTTTGTGAGGAATGAGATTTTTAAAAATGACCTAGGACTAATAGGACCCATTTTTTACCACGTAAGATACACGTCATCATTTTTTTGTTATAAAAAAACTGATTTATTTCCTCAAATTCTGATTTTTTTCGGTCTCTTTTATCAAATTTTCTCAATCACAGCACCGTCACGTTCTCTCTCTTTCCTCTGTCTCTGTGTCTCTCTCTCGATCACACCGAGACTTATCTCCCCTTCCTTCAATTTCTTCTCCCCCTCATGATTTGCGCTCTAACCTTCACTCTCGCTCTCTTTCTCTCTTCTAGCCCTAACGAAGAAACAAGCCCCCGTGTTCCTAACCCTAACTCACTGAGTTCACTTCGCCTGCCTCGCCTCGAACTCGGAAGGAAGCAGCTTCGCGGGCACTCGCACGCTCGATTGAGTCTCCCGAGGTGAGGATCGTATCTTCATTCCCTTTAAAAATGTAGCTTCTTCAAATTTTCTCAAATGTATCTTCAATATATTTATCATGCATCCTTCTTAAAGATTTCTTTAAGGGTTTTGATAATTTATGGCCTTTCTTTTCTTCCCTTTTTGATGTGGGTCAAACGAATGAAAAAAAAAAAAAAAAAAAAACTCTTTGGGGGCTTCGATCATCTATGGGGTTTTCCCTCTTTGATGGAGGTTATTTCTCCTTCTTCATATGTTTTTTTTCCCTTTCGTTTGGATGGTCGTTTTTTCTTTAAAAATTTTCTGATGATTCTTCAAATTATCGGTTGTTTGGTTCATAAGTTTGAAAGGAAATTTAAATTTTGCAAGCGTAAACGTTTTAGCAAAAAAGTTTAACAGTAGTTTAAGCTACGAAACAAACGCAAATTCTTGTATTCTGCTCTGCTCTGTATGGGGTTGCAATGAAAATCTTACATTTTATCTTCATGTCTCGAGTTTATAATTTCTTGTCTTAGATAAACAAAAGTATCGCGAACACTATAAAATTGTTATGATAATAGGAGGTTTTTATAGGCCTGATATTTTTCTGCTATTATTGGTGATCATAACCAGACAAGGGAAGACAAACATGCTTGTGGCATGTGGCCTTACCGGTATGGAATTACCTCAATGAACAAGCGCTTGTTATCAAGAGATTATACAAGTACAGTTGATATGGAATCAAGAATTTATGTCGATACAAATGCCATGGAATAAAAATCAGGTAATACTATGTCGAAGGAAAAAAAAATGATATCCTGATTTCAGAAATTTAAAGCATTTGACAGGTTGGCTCTCTCTCTCTCTCTTACTGTCAATATAATTAATTTGCTGCAGTTTATACTTTGTAGTGGTTTTCTTCATTTGGCTTAGCTACATATTTTCCCTCAAATTAACGTTGTCATAAATTCTATTCAATTTCAAATTTTACTTTGTTTTAGGGATTCATTATGAAAAAGTTATTAGGCCATTTCGTGTTCTACTATGTATTGTAATGAACGAGTCATTTTTGTTATTTTGTCTTTGTCATATGCTTTTCTTTCCCTTTTTTTCTGTCTAATTATATCTTCATTTGAACACTTCTGTTGCTTGATTTTATTTGGTTCTTTTAAATTATCAACACTCCACGTATTTTTGGCGATTAGGTTTTATATTTAAGGTTTTTGGAATTGATCATTGATCTTCTATCTCACAGCTTTGAAGACTTGGCTGTAGGCTGTATAGGAAAACTTGAGAGGAAGGTGAAATTCTTGAGAAAAACTAGCCCATATGAATTCACAACAAAAACTTATATCCTACCCCAAGAAACAATACAGGTATGTTTAGAAACTGAAATTAGATCAAGCGATAAAGAGGGGGAAAAAAAAGAAGATGAGCCAAATGTCTTTTCTGGACAATGGTTGTTCTGGTTTAGGTATTAGAGAGGTTGTATAGATATAGTATTATTATAGCGTTGCTTTTTTCCTTCTACCCTTTTAATCATTTATATTTCTTCAAATTTTCTCCTGTTCCTTTGCTTTGTATCAATTAATGCATGTCTTTTAATTGTACATGTCGTTGGTCATGCTAGCAATAATGGGCTCGCGTCTTCCTTTTCAAAATTGGAAGCTAGTAAGGGACATTTACAGTCTTCTTTATTGGAAATTTGCATCCTTCGTGCTCTATGGTCCTTAACATGAATGTGCACAATTATTTTAGTTCTCTCTAAGATGTATGAAGTGTGAAGAATGATGGTGATATCTTTGCTGTGATGATATATATTACATTTTTGTAGGCCTTGTGCAAGTTGCATGTGAGACAGAACTGTTGGGTTTCCATTTAAAGTAATATCTAAGATATCCTTTTTTTCTGCTTTAAGATTTTCTTTCCATCCAAAGATTTTGAGTAAGATTCTGATTGTTTCTTCTTCATATATTTTGCTTTAATAGGTTGGTCATGAAGCATGCTAAAAATAAGTGCTTCAATGCAGAGTCAACTATACAACAACTAATGACACTGGTTAATCATACAGCTGTGAGTTATTATGTTTTTTTTTTAATTTTTATTTTTAGTCCCCTCTTAGTTACAGTTATTTTCCTGACCAATTCAGCCTCTTAGTTACAGTTATTTTCCTGACCAATTCAGCTATAAAAGTGCTCTATGATAAATAGAAACTGATTTCTTACTCCACTGACTGCTTAAGTTTGGTGTCTCTTTCTCTGTTCATCTTAGTTTGAATTAATGATGAACAGATTCCATTCTTTGAAACTGACTGAAGGAAAGAAAAAGATGTTTCTCCGTTTTAGGAATTATTTAAGGCATTGAAAGTGTTGGAGAAAGTTGAACAAGATTATGCAGAAAAGTTAAAGAGGAGCGCACATGTAGTTCAAAAGGGCGACTTGTGGAAATATCTTCTCTATACATGTCCTTTTATTCCTCAAATCTAAGTTTGACTCCTGTATTACTGACTTTTCTTTTTTTTTTTTCATCCTGAAATTTCTGGTAGATTAGTATGAACTTGTCTTGAAAGAATTTAAGTTCTGATTGTCTTACTGAATTTCATCATCAAAAGAGTTTAGGAATATTTCTTTGACTTTTTCCTCGTATATTTGCTCAACCAACTTTTGTAACTATAACGTTCGATGTAAATAGTTATGCTCGACACATTAATTTTGTTTGAAAATTAAACATCAAATGGTTTTTTAACTTTCTACTCATTGGTGCGACCTTCGCCGATCAAAATGCTAAATAATCGTAGAACAAAAACAAAACTTATCTTCATCTTTCTTTCATTCTATATATATTTACAATCTCTAAAATGTGTTATAAAAGTACAATATGATTTTCATTTTTGCTCCAATAAATTGGTCACAGCGTCGACGCACGGAGCATGTGAGCATCCACACGCGGAGCATGTGCTTATAACTAGTCGTCCATATTGGCTGGAATAACTTGGAACATTCTTTGTTGTTAGATATGCCCATATGCTCTATGAAAAAATGAAGAAGATAGATACAAATAAGGATTAGAACTACTGATGCTCTGTGGAGTTTTGCACAACCTACATCCTCTAAGAATTCTCGTTATTACTAAACTACATGAAAATTAAAGACCAAGCATTCACCTTTTTGTCAAAACACACCAAAATTGTTTTGATATGCATAGTTTGTATTTTTTGCTCAACACATGATTTGTATTTTAGGTTTAGTGCTGTACAATTTTGAGTTCTCTTAAAATTTTTAGGCTCTTTCAGTTTGGTTAGCGCTTTCGAAGTTCCATTGAATAGAATGTTTGATTTTTTTTTGTTTTAAATCAACGTTTGTTTCTATCTCTATGTACTAAGTCTCAAAGCAGGCATGTGGTGTTCAATCTTTTTCTTCCACTTTTGCCCTTTTTGTTTTTTACTTTTTACTCACTTGAATGCTTCGCATTGCTAGATGGCTCAGCTTATGTAAGTTACAGTTGTCTTTTAGTTGAGTTAAATTACTGACATCTACCATATGTATATTGAATAAAATATTGAAGAGAGAGAGAGAAGAGATCTGGGTTTCACTTTTACTCACTTGAACGATTTTTTCTTTTAGGGATTTGCTTGCTTTGAAGAGAGGTGGATTTTTTCCGCCGTGCATTCCTGAAAAGTCTTGGGTCCTAGATGATGCTTTTGGGTGATTCTTCTTTAATGTCTTCTAGCGACGCTGTTTTGCTATTTCAAATCCCCATCAACTTGATTGATGATGTCGATTTCTATATTTTGGTGACGAACTCTACTTCTCTATTTTTTGATTCCATTTTTTTTTTTGGGAGTGTTTGGTTGTTGAGAAAGTGCGGTAAAATTGAATGAGAGATTGGATTGAGAGATTCTCCATACATTGTCATTTGCTCATGTCAGTTTGTTGAGTGAATTTTAACGTTCATAATAATTACTGTCTCTGATCATCTTTTTAATTACTTATGTTTCCCAATCGACTGATCTCTCTTTGATTGTGTTTCTCAAAGTCATAATCATTTTCGTCTCTCTCTGTTTCTTTTTTTTTGTTTGGGCTAACCAGTTCCTACTTTGAAGCGTTTTTTTTTCTTCCTTTTTTGTTGTCAAAACCTGAAGCGTTAGTTTCTTCATTGAGTGAAAATTACTGTTGTATTTTTTCCTTATCAGTTCCTTCAATGTGTTTAATTACTGTTGTATTTTTTCGCTATCAGTTCCTTCAACGTGTTTCTTACTTGCAGATGGTGCCTTTTTTCTTCATAATTTTTGTGTTTGACAAAATTTCTTGATTTGGCTATCGTTTGTTTTTATTTTTTTGAAAAGATATTGTTGTGGGCCTCATAGTTTATGTTGATCCTTGAATTTATGATTCTTCAAGTCACATTCCTTTTCTCCTGGTTTTTACTGTTGTATGACTACTTTTTTTTTTTATTTCTTTTTTGTATATTAGATTTTATATGCCTCAAGTCAGAGTTAGAACTGGTCTGCAATTGATTTTAGGCACACCACTTGGTGTCATTGAGATGACAATGCTCATTTTTCCCTATGAGGTGCGCAAGTTTTGTTTGTTTGTTTGTGTTTGATATATGTTATTTGGCTGTACGTGCAATTTCTACTGTGCATTTTTTATTGAGGTGGTTTGACAAGAACGGGAAGAAAATGGCTGGTTTGGATCAGTCTTTTTTTTTTTTTTTTTGGTTCTCATTTCTTGTGAAATTGATTTCTATGTAACAAAGTTAGGAGTGGTATTAAACTAGAGAAAGTGTTAGGAAGTGAACCCCTTTTTGGTATTTCTGGTTTATAAAGAAACAAAAAGAACCTCTTTTCTCTTCTTTCTCCCTTTTTCTTGTTTTTATTACTAAATTTCAGTTCGTAATAGTTATGCATTTTAATTGCTAAAAAACGTAGTTATAAAATTTCTTTTTGTGATAGCTACATTATTTATATATTGTGTGACAGATTGATGTCTGCATTTGTTTCTACTGCAAAAACTCTCAACCAAACCAAGTCTACAAATCAAAACTCTTCCTTAAAAGGTGCTATTTTGTAATTGTCTCACAGGTACACAAAGTTTGGTGCATCTGTTTGGTACTTTGATCGATGAATCTTGCTAAAGGTCTTTGTCATTTTGGTTCAATATAAGTTTGCTTTAAAGTATTTGTTAAGACATTTTATGTTAGTGAGAACGAGAGTTTGAAATTTTTTTTCAATAATCTTTCGACAAAAGGTTATTGTATCATCTTCTTAAGTTATTAAAATGTGATTTTTTAATTAATAAGAAACAAAAATTGTTCTAACGTACATAAATGCACGTGGCTTGCATGTGCTTTCTTTTCCTAGTATATTACTAAATCTCTTTAGTGGTGCTCATTGTTAACTTTTTTTGCCCTTTTCCCCCTCCTTTTCAATCTTTTTACTTGTTTTTAGTGGATATTCTCATGAGGTTATATTTGGAAATTGTGATTAACAAATGCACTGCTTCAATTTTTTTGCTTAGTTAGCCACCGCTTTAGCTGAGTTTGGATTAGTTTCATATCACTTCCAGTTTTTTCCAATTCGTCTTTCTTCTTCATATCTCCTCTTCAATTTTCTACAACTGGAAAGCACTCATAAAACTAAACCTAGTACATAGAGAAACTAATACCTTACTAACGAATTTTTCTCACAAAAGCTTGTGGAAATATGAAGTTATTTGAAGAAACGAAGCTCAACGTTTATATATATGTGGCCAGATTTGCCACTGTAATTTTAGGGTTTTTATTTCATTCTTTGACGTCTGGAATTTTCATGATGATTCATCATGATAATCATGAGATTTAAGTTGCTGAAATTGTGTAGAAAAATTCAGATTTTTATGTTTTAAGTTGATGACAGAGTCTTGATGAATAAGCAGGAGGATTATTACTTTTTCTTTTCTGTTCTGGAATTCTTGTGATGCCCATTATTAATTTTAAGCATGTTTGTCATTCGACAATATATCCGTACATGTAATATCTAATCATGTTTAACTGGGAGAGGTATTAAAATTTTTTTTCTTGGAAAATTCAGGCAGCAAATGTTGGATATTGTCGAATATTTTAACTTGTAAGTGTAGTGGACAGTTCTTCTACAATTTTTTTTTTCTTTTTTTATTATTGTTGAGAATAAGGTAATGATGATTGATTGGTTAATGTTTTGATTGGTAATAATTATGCTCCCTTTGCAGGTTAAACCTAACGCTGGCAAGATAGTTATTGCTACTATTGCACTACTAATTGGCAATTGCATCCACAACAAGTATTCTGATAGTATGTTGCTTGCTCTCATATTGATGATCGTGTTCACTCTGATCTCTTTCTCTACCTTTTGAGTGTATTATCTTTTTGATTGCCCAAATGAATGTTTGTTAGAATTTGAGCTTTGTTCCTTTTGTAATTTTCCTAGACTGATTTCATTTCATTAAATGGGTAATATAACTTCATTTTCTATGTGGGTTCAATCACTGAACTCACATCAACCCTTTGATTTTCTCTTACTACTATGGCCTTCCTCTATTAACATTTGAATTTTCACCCTTTTTCTCTTGCACCAAAAATATAGGGATTGTATCAAGCGAAATAAGAACTCTGTCAAAAACACCATATTGGAAATACTTATAATTGTTGTAGTTGGGTATAATTTGTCCTTCCATTTATTTTCTAGAGTTTGACATGCATTGTTCCTCCCATTAAATAGTTTTTTAAGGGTTGTTGTCCCTATGCCATCAATTACAACTCATTTTTCTTGCTTTATGTTTGTTGTTTAACCCTTAAGCTCTTCAAGTGTATTTACTGCTCTTTCCTTTATCTGAAGTTCATTGTGCACAACACTCCGATCATTTTGTTTTCTTTTAAATTTCATTGGAAACAATTATGAATTCAGAATTTAGCTTAAGAAATAAAATTTTCCTCTGTTTTGATTTTTTGATTTTTTGATTTTTTTTTTAGAATCTTTTAAAGTTCTGAAGTCTTATATTAATTTTGTAAGTAAGAATTTGTCTACACTTT